CCCTCCATTTGGGTGGATCAGGGAACCTGGAACCTCCCCCTTTCCTGGGGACCACCCTGTTACACCTTTCCAATCTGCTTATTTTCCCTCCTCACAGAAGTGGATAGAATACGCAGGGCTGCATTGAAGGCGAGCAGAGCAGACATACTTGTGTTGCTTGGCCCTCAGAGGAAAGCACCCTGTGTGTCACAGGCAGTGTGACAGATGTGGCCTGGTGTTCATGCCCTTGGCAGAGGGTTGTGCCCTCTGGGGGTATCCTGCTGAGAGCTGTGTGAAGGTGGGAGGGGGAGGAGTGGAGTCCAAGGAATTTGCCCAGTGCAGGGTGGTCTTCGGGGCAGCACCACCACCCGCTCTGTTCTGTTTTGAGGGGGGAGGGGGATGAAAATCACCTTCTTTTTTTGACTGAGAGCAGAGTTACTCAGGAAACATGGGTGTATCATATTCTATGAAGCCCCAAACATCCACAGGGAGACAGTCAGGGCTGTGGGCACCACGATCCTCCTGAATGCCTTCACCTTCTAGGCGCCACCTCGCAAAGCAGCAGCGTTGACAGCGGCACCTACCTCGGGAAAGATTATTCAGAGTCCAAGTGTGTTGAAGCAATGAGAAGCCTGGAGGGGATAACAGAGCGGTATCCCCATCCAAAGGCAGTGCAGCCCCATCCAAAGGCAGTCTCGTATTTATTAGAATCAAGTACAAAGGAGGAGCAAGTACATTTGTAGGGGATGTAAGCTAGGGTAGGTGACCAGGGGCTGTTGCCTGGGGGACTCTATTCTTGCTAGTCAAAGCATATCATCTCTATTCTCTATTATCTCTATTCTCTATACCTAACTTTCTGCTAATCTTTACAAATAAGGCATTCTAGCTGATCTTGCTAATCTGGCCATACTATCTCCCTGTTGTTTTCAGCAGACACTGCTTTCCCAGTATGTTCTTCATACCAGGACTTTGGTCCCTGGTGAGAGGCCTCCTGTCTGGCTGCCTAGCTGACCAACAAGAACTCTAGGTACCAAGACAATGGCCCCGAGAACAAGGAGGGCTGGGGATCCCACATCTAGGGAATGAGTAGCAGGTTGGGCAACCATCCCATTCCCTGGGGGCGCCAAGTCAGGAGGCAGCAGCCTGTTTGGTACCAGACTCATGCTTGGAGGCCAGTGAAGAAGGAAGTTCTTGCACCTGCTGTGAGGAGGGCATGGGAGAGACCTCCCTACCTCCCCAAGTCCTAAGATGGCTCTGTCCTGGGAGCTTCCTGAACAGGCCCAGTGCAGGGAGGAGGGACAATGGGGGTGCTGAGGCACCCCAGGCCCAGAGGAGGAATGGAAAGGCTTGTGAAAATTATGGGGTCCTGGGGCCTGGAAGGAGCCGGAGGGCATGACCACAGGGCTAAAGGACACACAGGCCTGGGCCACATCCCTCTCTGGCCTGACCGAAGGGCCCTGGGCTCTATCTCTGCAGGAACACTCCCTTTCCTCTGTAAGGAAGGTGGGGGCAGGGGTGGAGTTGTGTTTCTCAAGCTGTTCTGGCTCAACCCACAGGCTCTGAAAGAGCTGGGCAAGGTCTTCTCCCCCTACGTTAAGGAGAGCGACCTGGACATGAGCCACAGCTTCAGAGAGTATGTCACGTGGAGGGAATGCCATGGCATCAAGTGAGGCTACTGGGCAACAGGGCAGAGGGCCAGGGCTTAAGGGTGGTAGGACCCTGGGGGAGGATTGTGGGTTTGGGGCCTGGGGGGACAATGGAGGTCCTCGCAGCCATTTTTGAATTTTTTTTTTTTTTTATGTTTTATTTTTTTATTTTTTTTTTTAAATATTAAATTTTATTTTTATATTCCCCCATACAATTGCAAACGCCCCATTCTGACCCCAATCCTTCCCCTCCCGCCCCCACCCCCAAAAAGTGTCTCTGGTTCATAGTTTTTTGTTGATTTTGATTTTCACTTTCTTATATTCATTTTCCTGGTCCCTTAATTAAGTTTTCTAGATTCCTGCTATGAGTGAGACCATCCGGTATTTTTCTTTTTCTTTTTGGCTTATTTCGCTGAGCATGATCCCTTCCAGTGCCATCCATGTTGCTGCAAATTGCATGTGTTTATCTTTTTTGAATGCTGAGTAATATTCCATGGTATATATGTACCACATCTTCTTGATCCAGTCATCTATTTTTGGGCATTTGGGTTGTTTCCAAAGCTTAGCTATTGTAAACAGTGCTGCTATAAACATAGGAGTGCAGGTGCTCTTTGGAATTGATGTTTCTGTGTCCTTTGGGTAAATACCTAGGAGTGGAATTGCTGGATCATATGGAAGCTCTATGTTTAGTAGGTCCAGAAATCTCCACACAGCTCTCCATAATGGTTGGACCAGTTTGCACTCCCACCAACAGTGCAGAAGAGTTCCTTTTTCTCCACATCCTCGCCAACATTTGTTGTTGCTAGTTTTTTTAATATGTGCCATTCTCACTGGTGTGAGATGGTATCTCATGGTAGTTTTGATTTGCATTTCCCTGATTACAAGTGATGTTGAACATTTTTTCATATGTCTGTTGGCCATTTGCATTTCCTCTTCAGAGAAGTTTCTTTTTAGCTCTTCTGCCCATTTTTTGACTGGATTATTTTCTTTGTTGTTGCTGAGTCTCATCAGCTCTTTGCAGATTTTTGTGATCAGTCCTTTATCATTAGTGTTGGGTGCAAAAATGTTCTCCCAGTTGGTGGGGTTTCTCTTTGTTTTTGTTATTGTCTCTTTTGCTGTGCAGAAGCTCTTTAATTTGATGTAGTCCCAGCTGTTTATCTTTCTCTTCACTATCACTGCTTTGGGTGATGTGTCTGTAAAGATGTCTTTGATGTGCAAATCCCGTAGTGTTTCGCCTATCATTTTTGAATTCTTAATCAGTTTAATCACAGTATCCAGGATCCAGTTCAGTTATTAGAGGATTATTGTTGTCTTTTGGTGATGGCATATTTCCTTTATTCTTTATGCTCCTTATAATTTCATATCATTGCTTTGGCATTTGATGTGAAATCTCTTTACTAGTTGTCTTCAAGTGAGACATATTTTTCATTATTCCTTTTATATCTGTGTTGTCTTTGATCTTTTATTGATTCCTCTACTTCACACTTCTTGCTCCCCTTGTAATGGAATTATTCATATTTTGTGTTTTCTCTGATTCTTATAACTCATTGGCTGGCTGCTGGAAACTTCTCTTTTTTGTTTTCTGGAAGGCTCAACTATGGTTCAAGTTTGTGATATCTCCCCTGCCTACCTACAGACCCTGTTCTGGTTTTCTCATAACATAAGATTTATAAGTGTTCGCTTTCACCATCCTCTGGCACATGCACTGTAGAATGGGAGGAGGTGTGGGTTTATCACTTGGTATTGAGGGTGTATACAGGCTTAGTGAGAGGGGTTTCTCTTAGGGGCTCATGGCTGACCCTCCAGCTTAAGTATTGTTACTGAGTACTGTCTACCTACCCACATCCCTTTAATAGTCTTTATTTCCCCCTACCTCCTCTCTCCCACTTTCCCTTCTGTTTTCCTACCTCATGGAGATTGTGCCTCAGTAACCCCTGCTCTGCAATATTGGGGAGGTCAAGCACTCACTTAAGAACTTGACACTCTCCTTTTACTCTGCAGGAGAGGATGCAGCCCACTACTGCAGCTTCAGGCACTATCACTGTGGGGAAGGGGCAACACCGACAGAGTTCTTCTTAATCTTGAGTGCATAGTAGCTCATTTTGTTTTGCTTTGTACTACAACACCATTCTAGAATTGCCTCTCTGGGTGGTTACACTTTTACAAAGTCCCACTCACCAATGGGTTTCTTCCCAAATCTGCACTATTCAGAATTTCCCCAAAGAAGTACAAGAGGTATGTTGGTAGGTTCGCCACCTCCAGCTCTTTTTGCAGCTGCTACAGAAGACTTTCTTCATGTTATAACATGCAGGTTGGGCAATACTCTTTCCAGATCCCTTGGTGTCTGGTGCTATATTCCAGAACTCCCACTGGGGCACTTTTGTTTTGGGATGAATAACTAGCTGTATAAAAGACATAAAAGGGGAGACATCTCACATCTCCATGAAGCTGACATCACTCTGGACATAAAACTGTGGGCAACAGACTCATTGCTGATGGCTAAATAAAAAATCACATGATAGCCCTTGTATTGAAATTAATCTAAAGTTTACATTTTTATTAAAGGAAAAGATTTGGCCCTTAAAATTAGTATTTCTTTTTTATTAAAAATTATTCACATAGAAAAGAAAAGGCAATAGGCGATAATACAAATTATTTTAAATTCTATGAATGTAACCAAGTCTGATTTAGAAAGAATATTTTCGGGGCTGTTATGGAAGTTCAGGTGAAATGAGGAGCAAGAAATTTGGTATCAGAGACTTAGGATTAGGAGGGAAAGAAATGGTTTAATAACAAAAAAGGTATTCAATGAACTCAGTACCTATTTGAAAATGTTTATACTTGTAGATGCAAGAAATGGTGGGCGAAATGTGGCTAAAGCAATTTTTTTTTTCTTGCTAGATGTGTCTATCTTTTTTTTTTTTTAAAGATTTATTTATTTATACAAGCACTGGGTACAGTCAGAAACGCGGGGGGGGGGGGGTGAGAGAATTCACCAGAGCCAGAGTGGGTTACAGAACATGCAGACTGACAAAATACACTGCTGAGGGGAGCAGCGGGCAGCAGGAGAGGTCTGCGCACCATGTGGGACCCTCGTTGGCAGCCGGGGATCAAACCGGCGCTGCAGAGGCTGCGGGCAGCTTCGCAGCCCAGCGCTCAACAGCTGCGCCACCAGGGGAGGCCCTAGATGTATCTATCTTGGTGAATCCATGTTTTGTTTTGTTTTTTTTAAACTCAAATATTTCCTGAGAATAGCACAATTAAATTTGTGAGTATAGCATACTATGAAATAGACTGAAATTTACTAACACATTATCCATTTATTTGCATGCACGGTTCTCATCATACAATGATTATTATTAAAGTCAGATGACTTTAGGACCACCAATGTATCTAGTTATTAATTTTCTCATGGCCTCTTTAACTTCCTTATTCCTCAAACTGTAGATAAGGGGGTTCAACATGGGGATCATAACTGTGTAGAACACAGATATGACTTTGTTTTGTTCAGTTGAGTAGCTGGACTTGGGCATGACATATATGAAGGTGATGGTCCCATAGAAGAGAGTGACAGCTGTGAGGTGGGAGGTACAGGTGGAGAAGGCTTTGCGCCGTCCTTCTGTAGAGCGCATCTTCAGGATTGCGAAGAGAATATAGACATAAGAAAGAGCAATGATAAAGACGGTGACCACAATGATGGAGCCAGAAGTGATGGCTGGAATTATTTCAAAAGTAAAATCATGTGAGCAAGAAAGCTTCAGAAGCGGTGAATAGTCACAGAAAAAGTGATTGACTTTATTTGGTCCACAAAAGGACAGATTTAATAAACAGCCAGTAAATGTCCAAGCATTCAAACATCCACCTAGGTAGGATATCCCCTCTAAGAGGATACAGACTCTGGGGGACATATGAGTGGAATAGAGCAGGGGGGAGCAGATGGCCACGTAGCGGTCATAGGCCATGGCAGCCAGCAGGAAGCACTCAGCTGACCCAAATGTCACCACAGAACAGAGCTGGGCTACACAGCCAGCAACAGGGATAGAGGTTCTTTTCCTAAGGAAACCCATGAGCATGACAGGTGTGACTGATGAGGAGTACCCAATGTCTACAAAGGCCAAATGACAGAGAAAAAGGTACATAGGGGTGTGTAGCTGAGGGCTATTTCTGATTAACACGATGATGCTGACATTGCCCATTAAAGTGACTATGTAGATTCCTAGAAACAGAACAAACAAAATGGCACAAACTGTAGAGTCCTCTGTTAACCCCAAAATAATGAATTCTGTCACAGTTGTGTAGTTTCCAGTCCCCATCTATAATGGGAATAGTACCCACTGAAAGAAAATATGTGAATATTAGAATAGAAAGGAATGTTGTAATTTGAATAATTATTTTTACAATGGCTCTATAATAAAAATCACAAAAACATACACAAAGTACGTTTTGGTAGGAAGTGCTTTTAAACACAATAATTTATGAAAAATTTGATAATATATGTTTATTAATATAAGGACAGAAAGACTGGGGAGAAAAGTAACTTATGTTAATAAAACATAACTCAAAATATTCATATCAGGCTGTTATTTTGGGAGTTTCTTAAAAGAGATCAAGTAAAACTTCAGAATAACAACACATTTCCTTCAAATATTCATTGTCAAGAAGAGCAAACTCAGATACACTGCATCACAGCCATGTGTTCAGCCAACTACTATTCTTCACAGAATGTCACAATTCTATTCTTCACAGAAATGCATGAATTATGTTGTATGTGTATTTACTGAGCAATAATAATAGCATGGCATGTTAGAACACCAACTTATTATGTGCCTGAACTCCAAATCCTAGCTTCCTTATCTATAATCAAGACAGAACTTTGTGGACTAGATTCCTGAAATGGAAGAACTAGAAGGTAAGTCAATTTCAGGTATCTACTGAGCTGGCTTGATAATGCTTGCGTGCAGAGAGATTGAGGGCACAATCTTGCTCTTCAGACTCAGTTCACAATGCAATTTTATCAACTAGCATGGACCTAAGACAGCATGAAAGCTTAGATTTTTAAGGGAAATAGATCTATGACACAAATTCAGTCAGTCATAATCGTCATTGTTAACATGGGAGCAAAATATTGTGCAAAAATGCTAAGAGCTTTGGAGTTAAACAGGCCTGGGGCCAGACTCCACAGAAGTCAGATGTCACAACTATAGACAGCTTACATAAAATTTCAACCCTTCATTACTATTTTTGTTAAAATATATATTTCTTAAGGTTCTTGTTTTGAATACAATGATATATACCAAGCACAGCTCACAGAGGTAAATTATGCTCAATAAATCATTTCCTTAGATCAGTCAAAACTTAACTTCTCATACAAAAATGAGAAACAATTTTTTTCTCAATATATTTTTTCAATATAAAAGGAAAAATATTACCTGTAGTATTTGTTCCTCAACAATAAATGCCAAAGAACTGTCACTGTTAAGCAAGGTTACATTTATGAGATGTGGGATCTTTGGGGATAAAACCCCTTGAGTATATTACTTGTTTACGAAAATCATCAAGACGGAAAATTAGATACAGAGATTCATGTAAATATGTCTTGCGTAAGAGCTTCTATACATTTTTTGATTGTTCATTAGTTCTTAACAAAATCTTTTGATGGCTTGTTAAAATCATTCTTTTAAATGACTAATGAGAATAAACAGTGTATCAGATAAAATTTAATTTTAAAATACAAATTTTTCTGTGGAAAAAATCAGTACTTTTGTTTTGTTTTTTATGTATGTCTAGATGATGCTGGATAAGAATGCATTTCAGAATCATTCCTTTAAGGAGAAAAGAAAGCTGGGTACTTTACCATCAACTCCAAATGCTTAAGAGCTGGTCCTAAGAGTGCAAACTCTGTCACCTCCAACTCCTGCCTACCAGTTATATACTCCTTCAGAAAGTCCTGAGGCAGAGAAATACAGTGTTTGATGTAAAACTTCATCAGGTTGGGTCAAGGAGATATGACCAGGGCATTCACACCCTTTGTTTCAAAATTACGCCTTCATTTACCATTTATTTACTCATTCCTCTGGTTTTTTTGTGTAGGAAAGGCAAAATATTACTTCTACTGTCTTGAGCCTTTTTGGCTGGTAATGAGAATTAAACTGACAGATTAACAGGAGTAAAGCATACAAAGTTATCTGTTTTTGAAATGTAGGAGTCCTCACAAGAAAATGAAAGCTCAAAAAGGTGGGAACACTACAGGTTTCTCTATTAAACAAGGAGACAATTGCGGAGAAATTACCATATGGAAGACTAAAGGAAGGTACTTTTTTTTTGAGTCTCGCTAATGTACATTCTCTCAAAATCTCCAAGGGTTCTTTACTGCTAGATATTTGTAATATCTACTAAGATATTATTAAAAATCCATTACATTTTTGTTCTGTTTATTTTTTAATAATTTTTTCTTTTACTTGTGGCAACATTAGGATTCTCCCAAATGAAAGGGAACCGCTAATCAAATGAAATCTTACCTGTTTCCTGCTAAAAGAGTCACAGATCTGGGGCAGTAAATAATGCAAAGTAAATGTAAACAACAAGTTTTGCTTCTCTAAAGCCTATCTAGATAAGATTACCTAAAGGAGGTTGCTACATTTTAACAAGGTCAAACAGCCACCAGGCTGATTGATCTCCCAGGGCATCCTTGAATACCTGTCTTTTGTCACAAAATTTTGTGCTTACTGACCAATGTTATCAATGCAAGATGGTTATGTATAAAAGAAACCCTTTGTCCCTAGACTGGTGCTCAGACCTTATGGGACCACCCAGGGCTGGGGCCTCATGCATGAGTAATAAACTTTCCTGATCTCACCATTCCTGAAGTACCGCTTGTTCTTTCCCTGCCTGGGTAAAAGGCTAGAATCTATTTCTGCAACACAATCAGGTATCACCACCATAGATAATTCTTTGTGCTTCCTTTCCTCTTTGTTTATGCTCCTCCTTCTCACCGTCTCTGCACCCCCCACTTCCTCAGGCTTTAATGCACCAGTTCGGTAATCAGTCTTTAACAAGGTCTGTTTCTGCATAATCTTAAAGCTCTCAACTTCCTATCCTTAACAATCAGAACATTATTTTTCCTTTTAGCATATAGGACATATTTCACACAGGAATTTTGTCCTGTTTTTAAGAAAAAAGGAGGAAGGTCAGAGTATTTTTCTTGTATTAGCAGTTTTTCAAATGCCTTGAATTCAAAATAATACTTCAGAGCAACATACTTTGGGGTGGTATACTCTACCACCATTTAATTTCATTAGATATCCTTGACCTATCAGGATTTAGTATTAATTACTTCTTTTACCTTTTTCTCAAATAACACTGAGGTCTTAGACTATTTTAATTCCACTTATCTTTACACTTGGTTACAGGCAATTTTTGTTGTGTATTTTTATACCTATAAATTTTAAGCCCAACAACAGTATTGTTATCAATATTTAGTGGTTTGCTTAGTAAATATTCATTAAGATTTAGCATCTTATTTCCCAATTTTATTTTTATTTCTTTTAGAATGACATAGTATCCTTCACTCTGCAAGGAGATTTTTGTTGCTAATATATTCTAATTGGAAATTATTCCTGTTTTTTTTTTTTTTAAGATTTATTTATTTATACAAGAACTGGGGTACAGGTCAGAGGCACGGGAGGGTGAGAGAATTCACCAGAGACAGAGCGGGAAGCAGAACAGGCAGACGGACCAAAGACACTGCTGAGGGTGTTATAGAGCAACCCCGATATTAAACAGGTTCCTGGCTGTGGGTCCTCACCCGCGCGCTTTAAAGGGACTTATGAATACTCTACTACAGACACACGCAAAAGGGTTAATAAAAGGTTTATTTACAAGAGAAAAAGAAATAAGGAAAATATACAACTCAGGGAGAAAATAGGGAAATAAAGTCTTTAATGCGTCCTACCCAATCCGACGACCTGGAAACCCAAAGTCACTCTCAGAGCTGGCCGGACGCTGCGAGCTGGCGGAGAGCCAAAAATGGAGAGCCCCCAAAGCCCACGTGTCTGCCTTTTGTATCCACCTGGCTGCTTAACCCCACCCTCAGGTCCCAGCCACCTTCCCTTTGGTGGTGATGGGATTTGGAGTTCCCAGTGTCTTTGGCTTTGACCTGGGGTGGGGGTGGAGTCCACAAAGCCTATATGGAATTTGCTTTGGGACATCAGCGGGCGAGGCAGGAGAGGTCTGCCGCGCCATGTGGGTTTCTCCCTGGCCAGCCCGGGAATTGAACCCGCGCTGCAGAGGCTGCAGACATCTTCAAATGCAGTGCTCAACCCTCTGCGCCACCAGGGAGGCCCAAAATTATTTCTGTTTTAGTCCTTTGAAGATGTTTACCTTTTTTTCTGTTTCAAAATTAACTGTTTAGGACTTCCCCTGGTGGCTCAGGCAGTTGAGCACAGCTTTGGGAACCTGCACACAGCCTCTGCAGCGCGGGTTCCATCCCAGCTGGCCAGAGAGATACCCACATGGTGCGGCAGACCTCTCCTGTCTCGCCCACTGCTCCTCTCAGCAGTGTATTTCAGTCAGTCTGCCTGTTCTGCTCCCCACTCTGTCTCTGGTGAATCTGTAACAGGGTGGTCCCCAGGAAAGGGGGAGGTTCCAGGTTTCCTGCCCCACCCAAGGAAGGGTACAGCTGAGCAGAGAGAGAAGCTGCAGAGGAGACTGAGGAAGGAAGGAAGCAGGATGGAGCCAGAAGGAGACCTGGAGGAGGCACATGGAGCCGAGAAATATATGAAGAAACTAAACTTGCCTTTTCGTTGTGGACTGGTTGCCACAGATGTGGGTGAGAAACCCGTGGAGAGGTGACAATGACAGTTTTTGTCTTAATTTTAATTTTTCTCTTTTCCTTCCAGGCTTCTCTGGTTGTTTCTTATCCTTCTGTGGGTCCCCACTGGAAGATGCTTTAGACTTGGGGCAGGCTTTGGGGCCTTGTTCTGGGCCAATCCTGCTTAGGTGGACTTTTACCCACGAGGGGACAGGTAACTTTGGGTGCTTGATTCAGAAACTATATTCTTTGCCTTTCCTGTATTGTTTCCTAATTGTATTAAAATTCCTTCCCATTAAAGTCTCATTTGTTTTGTGTTGATGCGGCAGATGGCAGAACCTATTTAGAGCAGGCAGGTTTGCAGGGTTTGGGCTGCCCCTCTCTCTGCCCTATAACAATCCTCTAACCCTCCCACATCTCTGGCCTGTACCCTGGTTCTTATATGTATGAATAAATCTTTAAAAAAAAAAACCTCTTAAAAAAAAAAACAAAATTAACTGTTTA